CTGGCTCTGCGTCCGCTCGTGCCGGTGGCCGGGCCCACTGGGCTGGGCTGAGATGGTGCGGAGCAGGTGATTCCGTGAACGCAGGAAGTCGCCCTGGCTGGGGAGGCCAAAGCTGCCTTTGCGCAGCGCCATGCGGGTGGCTGTGTTGCGGGCCGGCCGCGCCCGGTGATTGTACTTGAGCTGGGCCAGGTGGGCCGCGTAGCCGTCTGTAATGAACTGCAGGGGCAGTGAGGGACTGGCAGTCAGGGGCTGGCACCGGAGCTGCCTGCTGTCCCCCTGGGCCTGCCCCCCACTCACCTGGCACTGCTGCTGCAGCTTCTTGGTGGGCCGACCCACGATGTAGATCTGCATGGGCGACAGGCTGATGGCACTGTATACTGCCACATCCTTTGTGGAGCCGTAGGCCGCATGCACGCGCAGGTGTAGCTGGGGGCGAGACGGCCGTGGGCACAGGATTGCCCACCTGCCTTCACCCTCACCCTCACCCTCGCCCCCAGGCCATCCAACTCGGCCTCACCTCAGAGATGAGCAGCTTCAGGAAGTTGGCCTTGTGCCTCAGCGGGTCATGGACCAGGCCATCGCAGAAAGAGACCACGCCATGGGGGAAGTTGTGCTGGGCCAGCCATGCCACCACCCGCTGCTTCTGCATGTCGGGCCGGCCCGTCACATAGATGATGAGGTAGCCCAGGTCCTGCCAGTGCCTGGGAGCGAGGATGGGCCTGGTGTCCCACAGTTGGCCCTCCCTACCCCCATCTCCTGCCCGGCCTCAGAAAAGTGCACCTTTAATCAGGCTCAAATGACAGTGTGGACAAGGATGGCCATGGTGGCAGACCCTGCTAGGGTGCTTGCCTCCCGCATCTGGAGTGGCATCCTCCCAGGCTGCCACCAGCAGGTTCTAGAGCTGAGACACTGCCCAGGGTCACACGATCGTGCTGGGCTCAGACCTCTGTCCTTCAGGCCCAGGGACAAGTGTCTTCCTACCCAGCCTGCCGATGCCTCCAGCCAGAGTCCACCCACCTTATGCTGGCCACGCTGTGCCCTGCAGGGCCACTCACCGCACCACGTCCACAGCCCCGGCCCGCACCTTGGGGTCGCTGCCCATGATGGACACACTGGCGGCAAAGGAGCCATCGATGCTGAAGACCACGAACTCCGTGCCTTTGGGCAGCACAGTGATGTAGCTGTCGGCAAACGTGTGGTCTCCCCTGGCCGGTGGGGATGGCTCGTCAGTGCCAAGCAGAGCCCGCCTCCTGCCCCCAGGATGCTGGCCCTGCCCACCCCACGGCAGTGCGTACCTGACCACCATCTTGACGGGGTATACGCCCACCCCCAGGCGGTGTGACTCGGGGATGGTGTAGGAGACGCGCCCACTGCTGTTGGTTACCAGCGTGTCCAGGTAGAGCCACTCGCCGGAGGGCGGCTGCACCATGATGTGCACATCCACCTGGGCCAGGCGAGCTGGTCACGCACTGGCCACACTGGCCCCCGCTCCCTGCGCCCGAGGCCCGTGTCCTCACCTTCTCTCCAGTCAGGGTGACCATGTCCAGGGGCCCATACATGAAGCGGCCGGTCACCACCTGCGGGCCGTCCTCGTTGGCAACTGCGTCGCTGATCCGGTGGTTGGCGGTCACGTTCTGGGGAGGGTAGAGACGTGGTCAGAGTGGGCAGGGTGGGGCTGTTCCTGCCTGGCCTTGGGGAAGAAGGACCCTCACGGGGCTCTGAGTCCTCAGACGCAGAGGGTAAATGCAAGCCTGCTTCTCCAGACTCAGTTTCCTCCTCTGCAGTGTGGGACCTCCTATGGGGACTGAGGAAGACGACAAGCCATGGCCGGGAGCCCAGAGGACCCCTCACCCGAAGCTTCACGTGTGTCCTCTTGCGCTGCCACTTCTCTCTGGGCTGCGAGGGGGTGAACACCGACACCTCCTTGCCGTCCAGCTCCAGGATGCTGGCGCTGTCGTGCCTCATGACCTGGGGGCAGAGGTGGGCAATGGGGCAGGGGCCAGACAGGCTGCCTGCTCCGGGTGGGCCCAGTGGCCCGAGGGGCAGCAGTGGGAGCCCGGGAGGTTTGGGGACAGTTTAACCTGCTGCTGTCCAGATTCCCATCTGCCCCTCCCGTCCTCCACGTCCCAGCATGGAGGTGCCATACCTGCTCGCCCCACTGTCCTCTCAGGGCCCTTCTTGGGAGGCAGTGGGGCCCAGGTACCTGTCTCAACAGGAAGGAGACCACATCCGTCGACTCCCAGTAGCTGGCGTGGAAGAGGTGTGGCAGGGCCACCGTGGGGAAGGCTGTGAGGGCGTCAGGGCAGTACAGGGCATAGTCGATCCGCTTCTGGCCCCACCACTTTGCGGCAACTGGAGGAGGAGGAGGCTGTAACTATGCTGGCCCTGGCCCTCAGGCCTGTCCAGCCACCCTGGCCAGCCTCCTTCCTGGGCAGTGACCAGCCGGCAGCTGAGGGCCCAGAGTGTGGCTCTGGCCAGACTTGTGGCATAGGTCCCCACAAGGGGATGGGAGCAGGGGACAAGCCTGGCATGGAGCGGGGCTGGCTGTCCTCGGTGCCGTCACTGACTCAGCCCTGCCCTGGAGCCTGTGCTGCCTGCTCCGGGCCCCTCCAGCCTTGGAGCTGTGAAAAGCATGACCTCCAGGCCAGGCTGCTCTCCTCAGTGCAGGGCTACCTGGTGCTGCAGGGTGAGTGGACGGTTCCCACCTGGACCTGGGCTCGCAGCCCCTCCTTGGGGACGGGCCTGGAACACCCTACCCAGTGATTGTACACAGGAGGCACCCAGCCCATGGTGCCGGCTTGATGGGCCCTGGCTCCCACGTTTTGGTGCCCATGGTCCCGTCTGGCCTCCCCACCCTGACCTCCAGCTCCCAGTTAGGCCTTAGCGGTGTGTGGAGGTGGCGACAATGAGACATGCTTGGCAATGCAAGTGACCCTGAGTTAGTGTGCCACAGCAGGTACCTTCTCCGAAGTCCAGGCCAGGGAGCCACAGTGCCCTTGCCAGGCTGGGGCTCACCTGTTTGGCCCAGGGGCAGGGGCTGGGAGTACTGGGGGCTGGGGGGGGCAGGAGGAGCAGGGACAGGCGCCTGACACTGGGAGTTTGGGTGAGCATCCAGGGGACCTCTGGGGAGCAAGAACAGGGACACAGCTCAGCTACACTAAGGCTACCACGCTGCCACGCCTGCCTCAGGCCGGGAGGATGTGAGAGCCAGAGCTGATCTACCAGGTCGCACCCAGGAGACCTGGCTCGAGCACCGGCCCTCCCCCAGCTCTGCTTCAGCTGCCAGGGGGCCTCCAAGGGTAACTGGGGCCTCTCTAAGGCTGCTTCTCTCCGGAGGCCTCTGGTGAGCCCCTGGCCGCTCTGGCTGCGGCTGTTCTGGTGCTGCGGGGCACCTACTTTTACCAGATGGTGCCACCAACATAGCCTCCCCAGTGGTGGCTACTAAGGAGGCCCCTGGACAAGGCTGCCTGTCCCTTCTGAGACCTCGGCGACTGCAAGGGAGGAGGCAGGGAGCCCACACTCACTCTGGGCAATACTGGACGCAGTGTAGCTCTCGGCCATGCCCGACACCTGGCTGGCGATGCTGATCTCGCTCGCTCTTCGGAAGCCACGGCTGGTAGGGGCTGTGCCGGGGGATGAGGGAGCCGTGTGCTCTTGGAAGACTGTGCTATGGGTCTGGAGCGCATCCGCTGCAGGTGCACAGGGACAGTGGCAGGTAAGGAAGGGGCCTGTCCCCTGACCCTCAGCAGTAGGGCAGGCCGGCGTGCTGGGTCCAGCGTCCGCCTAGGCTGGGGCAGGCAGGGCTCCCTGTGCCAGGGCCTGTGGCTCAGGGCTGTGAGAGTGAAGCCTGGAGCTGCAGCAGGGGAGGACAGACAGATAGACAGGCGGACAGACACACAGAGGGAAGCGAGGCTCCCCTGTCCCACTCAGGCTCCTCAGCCAGTCTCTGGAAGCCCCTGAAGCACCAGAGCCCAGCCGACCTCCTACGGCCCACCCAGGGGTGTGAGGGCGATGACAGGGTGCCCCGCATGCTGAGGACTGAGGAGGCTCCCCAGGCGTCACCCATGGCCATGATGAGCCGTCCCCGAAGGGCATCTGAGGGCAGAGGTGCTGAGAACAGAATGGAGGAGCGAGGACAGTCCTGATAGAAGAGCAAGCAGTGTGGGGTGCAGGGTGGCCTGGGCATTCAGGGAGGAAAGGAGTGGGACCTGAGAGCCCCATGCCCTGCTCCTCCTGTCTGGCTGGGACCTCACCCTATCTCCACTCTGCTGCTTCCAGCCCTAAGAAGGAAAGACAGCACCTTCAGATGGTCACCGCCTGTGCCGAGTGACCCAGGATGGCCTCTGCTGTCTCGAGGCTGCTTTGGGTCCCCCCAACCCCTGGCCTTAGCGTGCATAGAGGAGGCACAAATGCCAACTCCCCGACCTTCCTGCCTGGTCTCTGTCCTTGCCACCAAGGTCCCACCAAATCCCAGTGGCCAAAGAGGGTGCAAGGGGAAGGGTGGGGGCCAGGGTCACAGCCAGGCAGATGTCACCACGAGGGAGTGGGTACACACACTCAGCACAGCCCGGGCTCTGGCGGGGCACGTCCTGCCCGGCGAGCGTGGGAACGGGGATGCTGGTCTCCAGGAAGCCGTCCCCAGTGGGGAGCGGGGCCAGGGGGCCACCCTCCAGGACCAGCTCAGGATTTCTCTGCATGGTCTCGACTGGAGGGGACGGGAAGAACAGAGGGGACAAGAGCAGACACTCGCGTGGCCGTCAGACAACACTATACACAGACTCGGGCTTCTCGAGGACTAGGACTCAATGAGATGCTGGGACACACGCCGGGCCTGGGGGACTGGCAGCTCTGGAAACGTCACATCCACTTGTGCCCTGCCACGTTGGGGGCCCTCACAATGCCCTCAACTTGGCGAGGGCCCCTCCTGGGCCCTTAGCTCTGTCCCCCCTGGGCCGGGGGCTCAGGCAGCAGGGAGGGACATCCGTCCCTGTTGGCCTGGTGCAGCCTTTGAAAGGCAGAAGCCCTGGGCCGGTGAGGAGGAGGCACTGGCCCTATGGAGCTGCGCAGAGCCCTCACCCAGCAGTGTGGAGGAGCCGTCCCCCAGTGGGTAGCGCTGGTAGCGAGGGATGCTGAAGGGCGGCAGGGTGTGGAAGCGCCGCTCCAGCAGTGGCTCCAGGCGCGAGGCAGAGGGGTCCGCGGGGTGGAAGAGGTTGTAGACTTGCTGGCAGGCTGGCCGCAGCTGGAAAACTGGGGGGAGGGGGTAAGTTGCAGAGGGAAATCCCTAGTTGTCTCTGTCATGTCTCTATCAATATGGAATGTTTGGGTCACTGTCCTTTTATTAGTTGAGGAATACTCTCTTCTTCTGCTGTGCTGGGGATGGAACATAGGACCTCATGCATGCTAGTCACACGGTCTACCACTGAACCACACCCCCAGCCCTGTTTATTTTTTCTTTTGAAGACGGTCTAAGTTGCCCAGGCTAGTCTCCAACTTGCAACCCTTCTGCCTCAGCCTTCTAAGTAGCTGGGATCACAGGAATGCACCACTACACCTGTCTGCTTTCCCCCGCTATTTAACGCAAAAATGTTGGCGTCTTCCCACGAGCACGTGTAGCTATGCCTTTTGCGTGGGGCAGGGTGTTCCACTGTGTGGCTGTCACCGGATCTCTATGCATGTGTGAGAGAATCTGGCTTTGGGATGGTTCTGAGCAAGGCTGATGGCTCTGCCTTCCTGGTGGCTGGCTGCCCATGTGACAGCACCCAGTTGTGGAGTCTCTTTCAGGCTGTGGGCTGCAGTCACCAGTTTGTGAAAAGGAAGGGGCATGGGGTGCTGAGGTGGGGCCTGCCATTTTTACTCAGCACCACTGCTCACTTGCTGCTGTCATCTAAGCCTCTGGGAGCCTCAGTTTCCCCTCTGTAATCTGAGGCTGTACAGATGGCTGTGAGGACTGTGGCTTCCTGAGCTGTGCTGGGTGATCTGGGGCAGGGGTGCTGTGTCTGATGCTGTCCGTGCAGGAGAGGCCTTTGTGGGATCCTGGCTCTATCCCCGTCGATAGCTCTGCTGTCACAGCCCCCGTGCTTCCAAGCCACTGGGATGGGGCTGATGCTGGAGCAGGGACACCAGGGGCAGGGGCCCTGGTGGACAGGGATGCTGGGAGGGCCTGAGACGTGACCTTGGCCTTGTGGCAGGGGCTCCAGGGACCCTGCAGGGCTCTCACCATCCAGGCTGGGAATGACTGTTTTCCTCAAGGCCAGGACCAGCCCCAGCGGGCACCCGAAGAGGAAGAGGTCGGCGATCTCAAAGTCAAACCTGCCCAGGGCCCCGGCGCCGTCCAGCACAGGGGAGCTGCTCGAGTGGCGGGAGCTGGGCTCATTCCTCAGCACACTGGCGTGGAGGCTGCAGAGGGATGTGCAGGGTCACCTGGGCCCTTCTTAGCCTTAGTGGGGACAGGACAGGGCTCATGGCTGTTCAGGGATTTGACCCTGCTGTGTGAGGGTGCAGTCTCCCAACAGTGGCCGGGATATTTCTAGTGACAGCAGGCTTCAGGTGCTTGGGAACAGCCCTGACCAGTGTCATGCTGCCCTGGTCCTTTCTGCCCCTGAACCGGCCACACCCATGCCCATCTTCAGGACCACCTGTTTCCTGTGGCTCCAAGTGACACTTGGTAGGTCAAGACCACAGAACATGGTAAGGTGGGGAGCCCCAAAGTAAACCCTAGGCCACCTGCTGAGGACTGGCGTGTGGGAGGCACCCTTTCGAGCCCCACCTAGACAGGAAGGCCTGGTGCTGCTGGATGGTGTCCAGCTCGTAGGTGGATGAGTCACTCCTCTTTCGGGGCAACTGCCTCTTGGGGTCCTCGGTGCCATTGCTGCGGGGGATGTCGATGTTGCTGCGGCTCAGGTGCCGACTGCTCTCCAGGCTGGAGCTGGGCGCCGTGTTCACCAGGATGCCGGGGGACAGCAGCTCGGCGTCCTGGAATGGCCCAAGGAGGCTGACTGCTGGGTGGCCGGGCCTGGTCCCTGCTTCAGCATCCTGGGAGCTGTATCGCCTCCTGACTCCAGAGCCCAGCACTGCCCAGCCCCAGGCTTCATGCCAAGCTAACGGGAAGCCTTTGCCCTCCACTGCCACCCTGGACCTTGGCTGTCTCCTCCCCACTGTCACCTCCAGGACCAGAGCCCCGCTATGGGCTGTGCAGCCACATGCTCTCCCAGGGTCAGCCATGCTACGGAGGTTCTCAGCTCCATGCACCTGCTCTGCCACCTCTGGGTACCAGCAGGACAGGGTACCTGCCCCTCCCATCCTCCTAGGAGTGGGGATCTGAGAAGCACTCCTTGGGGCCTCTCCCACCCCTGCCATATCCTGCCCTGCAGATGCCCTGCTCCATGTCTGCTGTGTGGACAGAACAAGCAGATCTGGGCAGTGTGGTATCTGGGTCAGCGGTCCTTGTGGGGCACACACAGGGCCCAAGAGGTGCCCACAGCAGGCAGGGCAGCTGCATGACTCAAGGGCTACCACAGGCCACTGAGGTGGCTTGGGGACAAGCGAGGGTGAGTCCTCTGCCTGGTACCTGCACGCTGACCACGCTGCCACGGCGGCTGCTGCTCTGGCTCTCAGACACTGGCTGGCTGCTGTAGCATAAAGCATCGAATGCCAGGATGCCCCCAACGCAGTCCCCAATCAGGCAGACCTGGAGGCAGGAGGGCCCCGGGGCCTGAGCAGCTGCCCTGCTTGCTGGGAGGCTGCGGGCTGGGGAGAGCTATCCCTGAGCCTTCTTCAGCCAGCCCATCCTCGAGTCCTGCCCCTCACCTGTCCGTTGAAGGGCATGCCCTCCTGGGACTTGATGAAGTCCCCATAAGCCAGGTTGGCCCGCTGGATCACCACGGCAACTGCCTCCTGGTACTGAGGTGAGGAGGTAGCCAGCAGTGGCAGGGCGGCCAATGGGATGTGGTCCTGACTGCTGGACAGACAGCCCTCGTCGTGGCTGTAGGGGCTGAGGCTGGAGGCAAGCGCTGGGTCAGAGAGGGCCAGCACCTTGGCTCAGCCCCTCCTTTGTCCCAGGTAGTGGGGAGACAGCCGCCTGCTCAGGGCTCACAGTGACACTCTCAGGCTGTGCCTGGGCAGGTGCAGGGGACCCAGCTGGGGAAATGGAAGCAGCCTTCACTGGGGACCACCCTCCCCAGCCTCGGCTCAGCCTGTCCGCAGAGGGCCTGGTGGCATATCAGGACACCTGCAGAGGCCCGGACCCTGGGGACCACCTTGTGCCCATCCCCCATGGGCAGACACCACTCACTTGGAGACGAAAGCAAAGGCATCGGCACAGACGGGTGGGCAGGGCACCAGGCGGATGGCGAGGTGGCCCAGGGCGCTGGGGTAGTGCACACGCATGACAGTGTCAAACACATTGGAGATGGTATTGGTGTCACCCTGCTTGGAGCTGGGGTCCCCAGCGCCGGTGTCCAGGATGGTGCCTCCATGCAGCACCAGCAGCAGCACGTGGATCTTGGAGGGTGGCGCGGCCAGCGGCTGGCTGACCTCATCCTGTGTGGGTGGAGTGGGTGTCAGGCCCCCGTTGCCCCAGGGATGCCTGTCTCGGTCCAGTTGCTCCCTCTGGGTTAGTCAGGGGCCTGGGGCTCCACGCCTCTGCCCCTCTCTCAGAGCCTGAAGGAGCAGGGGTTCTGACGGGGGAACCGAAGACTCGAGGGAGGGTCTGTGCCTGCAAAAGCCTGGACTCTGCTTCTTTTGGGGGCCCAGGCAGCAGCTTCTATTTGGGCTCAGGCTCAGCTTGGCCCTGGCCTCTGGGACCCGCTTCCCAAGAATGGGTCTGTTTTGGCCCAAGCAGTCAGGGCTCAGTCACAGGGGTCATTCAGGAAGGCTGGGGTCAGGGCAGTGTGTGAGCTCTCCCTCCATCCACCCAGGGCCTCCTCTACTATCTCCTGGGATCCTGGACCTGCCATGGTCCCCGAGAGCAGAGGTATCTAGGCAGAGCCAGGACCCAGCACCTGCCAGCAGGGTGGGGGGGCAGCATCCCGTCCACTGATCACGAGGCCGTGCCCCCAGCTTTGAGGTGGAGGTGAGACCCTGGGTTGTACACTGTGCACAGATAGGGGCACAGAGCTGTACCTTTCAGAGGTGAGGCGGTGGTGCAAGGTCAGGCCTGGGGACTGGTCTAATGTCACATGGTGTGCCAGCACCGAGCTAGGCTGGAATCCAGAGCCCCTATCACGCTCACACCCTGCTGCCAGCCCAGGCTATGGCCCTGTGCCCAGGGGCCTGCCCTCTGCCCCGCCCCAGCTTCTGGGGTGTGCCAGGGGTCACTGCTGAGCACTGCTGAACATTATGCCCAGGGGTACGGGTGAGGGACAGGGAAGGAGCTAAAGGAAGGCCTGTCATGGGCCACCTGGGCAAGGGAGCAGTCAGGCAGCCCCATCAGGTTCATCTGACAAGGGTTCTCCAACACAGCTTGGTAAAGGGCCATGGGAGAAATGACCCATCGCCGGGACAGGGAGGTGCAGGCCAGTGGTTCCTGTCACCTGGGAACGGCAGGGATGGGTGACAGGGGCCGAGAGAACCCTCCACGTGCCTGTTTGGCAGGGCCCAGCACTAGAGACTGTGTAGGGACCCCCAAAGGCCCCCCAAACGCAGCTTTCTTTACCCTTGGCCTGAAACAGGAGCCCTCCCTGTCCCAAACCCCAGGGGAACAGAGTCCACATGGGTTGTGAGTGGGCTCTGGAGAGCCGAGACTTTCTACCCTTCAGTGTCTCCATAAAGCCAGCCCTGTCCACAAGGGAAGGGTCTGGTTTGGGGACTATTTCAATAGAGGTATCCCATGATCAGTGCTGGGTTCCAAATGCACACCCCGAGGCAGAGCCAAGCCCAAGGCCCTCTGCCCTACCCAGCGGGGGGCAATCAGAGCTGTGTGCACTGCAGGTGGGAGGGGCTCCATCTGCCTTCTCCAGCCATTGAGCAGTGGCTGGAGTCACGCTGTCCATCACCCCTTCTGGGAAAGCCCCCTTTGACCTAGGACCTCAAAGCAGAGAACCCTGGAGGGAGAAGAGGTATGGATGCTCCATCACCCCGACTCCTCAGGGATATTTGAGTCCCAATGGAGATGCTGTTTCCACCTTAGGAGGCCTGGGATGGAGCTCTGCAGAGACCACAGTGTGGAACAGTGGAGGTGGTCCGGCTCTTTCCCTGGTGCAAACAGCTCTGACCACCCGCAGGCAGAGGAAGGTGTGAGAGCTCGGGCAAAGAACCCCCAAAGCGGACACGGGCTCCAAAGACAGCTTTATTGGACACACTGCCTGACCCCACGGGGCCGCCTTGCAGGCCATGGCCACATCACTTCTGCCTAGACGACTCCTGCTTCCTCCCCTTCCTTCCTTTTATCTTCAGCCACAGCAGAGAGGCTGGCCACAAGGTGAAGAGCTTATTTTTGTTCTGGAATTTACAAGTGTCCCACAGGTGCAGCTTGTCAAGGCCTTCCTCGGGGCTGCCTGCCACCGCTGACCCTGGGGTGGACACCTCCCAGCAGGACAGAAAGGGCAGGAGGCCCCAGGAGCCTCTCTGGGTGGCACCCGCGCCAGGCGCAGGGGGAGGCTGTGTGCACAGTTCTGCTTCCAGAGCCTGGGCCTGTCCCTCTGACCCATCCTCTCCCGGCAGCCCGGCCGCCCAGCACAGGCACCCACCTCGATGATGTTCAGCTGCTCCACGCTGGAGGCCACCCTGAACTCAGGGCCGCTGTGGTGGTACAGACTGTCTGCAACACAGAAGCTGCTGTGAAATGGGGGCTCCCCAAACCCCAGAACCTGGTGCGGTGCAGTCCCCAGGGGCCACTTACCCTGTGCGTCCTCGGGCTCGGGGCTCTCCATTTTGTCCATGAGGTCGTTGGAGCTCCACTTTGTGATGTCCTTGGGGAACATGTCCTCAGAGTCCGAGAGGTCCTCTAGGGAGGACGGGGCACGTCAGCAGGAACCAGGGCCACGTGGGACCCGGATACCCTGCTCTCTCCTTCCTTCACAGGACGGCTGCGCTGCACACCACGCGGCTTTAAGTTGTAACAGTCACGTAACATGACACGCACCATCTGAGCTGTCCTGAAGGAGCCTGCAGGACAGTCACGGCACTGTGCCACCATCACTGTGTCCAGGTCCCAGCATTCTCATGACCTGGGCCACTGGTCATCAACCTACTGTCTCGGCCCTCGCCTGGCCTGGGTGTTTCAACAGAAAGCAACATGTGGTCTTTGAGGGTGGGCTCCCTTTCCACAGCATCATGTTCTGTTCTGAGGGTGTCGGTGCTTGAAGCCTTTTACATCTACCCTTTGTTTATCTATTCATCAGCTGACACACACACACACACACTAGAAATTTGTTTGTTTTGCAGTACCAAGGATTGAACCCAAGGCCTCTCCACTGTGCTATAGCCCTGGCTCATTTTATATTTTTACTTTGAGACAGGGTCTCACTAAGTGACCCAGGCTGGGCTCAAACTTATGACCCTTCTGTCTCAGCCTCCCAGAGTGCTGGGATTACCGGTGTGTGCCACCATGCCCAGTATCAGATATCTTTCTTTCCCTTTCTTCCTTTCTTTCCTTTTCTTTGGTACCGGGGATTGAACTCGGGACCTTAAGCTTGCGAGCCAGGTGGCGGAACCACTGAGCTAAATACCTAGCCCTGGTAGCAGATATATTTAAACATCTGCCAAGTGCAGTTGAGTGAGAAGTGCTGCTGCGGACCCTTATTTCTGCTTTTCAGGAGCTTCCCCTGGGGCGAGGCAGCCGCCTGGCTCAGGAAGGATGGGCTCCCAGGCCTCTCCTGCTCTGCTGCCTCTTCCCTTCCATGGTGTGTTCTTCACTGGATGTGTACTTTCCTCTTGTCAGGGGCAAGGAGCCAGCTAGGAGTGTGACACCAAAGCACCCTCCATGAGGCCTGTGCTGCAGAGGTCATTGGCTGCTGGGGTCTTCTGGCCCCAGGGAAAACCAGGTGCCACCTCTGTGCCCGGATGCTGAGGCCTCAAGTTCCTTCCCCGTGCCTGGCCAGCTGCACTTGGGTGGCTCCCCATCCCTCCAGGCACGGTGGCACACAGAGCTCCACTGCACCAGCCCCATTGCGCTGGTGGTCAGAAACGCCCGCGCCCCAGTCTGTCCTCGCATCTCCAGCACAGGGAGGCGCTGGCAGTGGTGCACGGATCGAGCTTGCTTCAGGAGAAGTGGGGAGTGGATAGCTCAACCACTGCCGCTTACTGCACCTTCTGAAGAGCCTACCCTAGACACACACTGAATCGAACTGCATTCGTTATGTTCACAAAGGAAGTGACAAGTGTACAAAAGAAAGCAAGCACGGAAATTTAGAACGCTGTGAATTCTATTTCTCATGCAAGTAAATTCATGTGTGGTAAAACGCCTCAGCATGGCTGTCTTTTTTAGGGGGATCAAGCGAGCACCCTTTTTGGCCTGGCCTGCAGCACACTCTGACTTCTGGTTAGGGTGAGTGCAGACCCATCCTCGAGGCAGCCAGCTTGCGGGACATCTCCTCCTCCGTGCCCCAACCCCGTGTCCCCGGCTGTCCCCTGGGCCAGCACAGCATGGGCCCCTCCCCCAGCTCCTCCAGGAAGGCCCCAGCTGCTGCAGGGAGCTGCCCGCCTACCTTGGGCATCGAAGAACTCATCGTCTGAGCTCTCATCAGAGTCCCTGGCGATACTCTGCATCCTCCACTCCGAGATGCTGTGGCGGGAAGGGCTGGCTGGAAGGCAAACCCCACACTGACCGCCTGCCTGTGGGGATGGCCCAAAGGCCCCACTGAGCTGGCCAGTGAGGATGTGGGATGAACCTGGAGGCCGCCCTGGGAGCTGGGAACTAGCCAGAGGCCTAGTGGAGATGTGGGGGTGGAGGGTGCCTAGCTCATCTGGGCAGAGCTCCTGGCCCTTTCTAAAGAAAGGGTAGTCATACCAGGGAGAAGGCGGGGTGGGAGGGCATCGGGCACGTGCTCAGGGGGCCTGGGTCTGAGCATGGGCAAGGCGCAGGGGGAGATGGGAAGACGAGTGCCCAGGCAGCCTCCTCCTGGCTGCACGCTGGAGACCTGCTTCACACTCTGCCTCAGGATCTGATGCCTTGCAGGCCTCCTCGGGCCCCTCGGGTCACAGTGAGTCTCCCCCCGGGCCCTGGAGGTGAGTCTGGGGCCTACTGGGCAGGGATCTGGGCTTAGCCTGGCACAGCTGCAGAGAGGAGAGCTCTGTGCTGCCTTGCTCATCTCTACCATGCCCACTAGAAAGAGGCGTCTGCAGAGGCAGAGGACTCAGCAGCACAGGCCGCCTCGAGGGAGGGAGGGAGGGAGGGCGGGAGGAAGGCGGGGACCTAGCGCTGGAGCTCACCTCCCCGCTTGGACGACCGAGAGGACTTGGAGGACGTGGACCACTGCTTCTTCAGCCCCCGCCCAACCAGGGGCTCCCCGTTGCTGCTGCTGGGCTCGGGGGCTGGCCCAGATGCCTGGTCCTGGCTGGCTGGGTCCTTGGTGAGCTCTGTGCCTGCCTCATCCTCGTTGAATTGGGCCATCTTTCGGGACAGCATGAGCTGCGCCTCCCTCTCGAGCTCCCGGATGTGCTCCATGCTCAGCCCGTACCACTCGTCCTGCCAGCACCAGGCCTGCCGGTGGGCCCGCACCATCACCCGCCGCAGGCCTGCAACAAGAGGGGAGGTCAGGCTCAGGCCCTAGCCATGGCCCAGCTGTGCCTCAGTTTCCTTGTCTGTGAAACTGGGGACCGACTCCTAGACTCACTCTCCAATTAGAGGGGAGGGACCTCCTAGGTAGCATGTCTGGTCAGAAGACACAGTTAAGTGTGCGGGGAGGGGCTCCTTCCCTGGGAGGGAGTGGACAAGACTCCCAAGAGCCTCCTGTCTTGGGGCTTGATCTGCTTTTCCCGTCCAGACCTATGGAAAATCAAATTCAAGTTCAAAATGGCTTGGTCTTCTTCTTTTTAAATGCTTTTAATAGCAAATAGTACACATATGAGATAGGGCCTGGGTATGGTGGTGCACGCCTATCATTGTACATTCTGGGAGGCTGAGGCAGGAGGATAAGTTTGAGCCCAGCCTGGGCAATTTACCAACTTAGCAAGACATTATCTCTCCCCAAATAAAGGAAACAGCTAAAGATGCAGCTCAGTACATAAACTATGGGTTCAATCCCCAGTGCCAACAAAATGAAACACAACAGAAAACCCAAAAAACAAGCAAAAAATAGTAGACTATATTGTACATGTAAAGTAAGACAAAGTGGAGTTTTGTTAAGGTATGAAGAATAACAAAAAAATGATAGAGACGGAAAGCAGCTTGGGGTGGCCTTGGCCAGGGTGGAGTGGGGATGTGGAGAAAGGGAATAAAGCCCTACTCCCCCTCCGGCAGGACTATGAACACAGGTCCCGGCTCTGACCTAACCGCTATCTCGCGTGGCCAAACTGCACAGGCTATACAGTTAGGCCTCACAAAAACTGCTTTAAAAAAAAAAAAGATTGAAAAGGGCCAGGGATTTAGCTCAGCAGCACACTGACTGCCTGGCAAGTACGAGGTCCTGAGTTCAATCCCTGGTACAATAAAAAAAAAAAAAGAAAAGAAAAAGAAAAACAAAACCCCCACATCCACACTGCCCGGTGAAAGAACAGGACATCCTGGCGGCTGGCCTTCTCTGACGCCCTGGGGGTCTGTCCTAGGTTTTGCGCTTGCCACTTGCTTTGCTTTCGGTTTTAGCGTGTAGATGTATTATCCACATTATGTGTTGGGGAGGCTGGGCTGGAGTAGAAGTGCACATATGGGTGTCACACTGGTCACGCTGTGATTCCTGCTGCTTGCTTCTCTTTATCCTCATCTACCTGTGTGGGGCTGTAGGGCACAGGGTCTGCTGCTGTATGGATTTATGTTTGAAAGACCACATTTTATTGATTTATTTTCCTGCCATTGTCCCTGCCCAAGCCCTGGTGTGGCCTCAGTTTCTCTTCCTGGGCCTGGCAGCTGGCCTCATGGGGCTTCTCCAGTCTGTACAGAGAAAGGCTTCTTCTTGGCGGTGCTGGAGGGCTGGGACGAGGCACTTCGTCTGGGCCCAGGCAGACCCATGGGGGCAGCTAAGACCTGTGCCAGCCCCTGGGAGTCACCTCTCCAAGGCCAAAGCTGAGCTTGGCTCACGGGGGTTCACGGGAACAATGTTCCCAGCAGATGCCCTGTCATCCTCCACCAGCCCAGTAAGACTATTGTTACTATACCCATTTCTCAGAGTGGAGGAGACAGAGCTGCTACCTGGCAGATCCACAGTGGCCCACTCTCCCTTCTGAGGGCAGAGCTGTCTCAGTGGCTGGGGGTGTCTGCAGTCTGGAGGAATCTGAGCCCAGAGTCCCTGCTCCCTGGGGCCTGGCTGAGCTGACCCAAGAAGCTACCACGTTCAGATTCCTGGAGGTGCAGGAAGGGAGGCCCTGCCCAGCCCACCCAAGTACCTTCTTGTCCTCATATCCCCTGTGGGCCGAGGATGTGTGCTCCCATCCTAGAAACGGGGACAGCCACCAGGAGGGTGAAGCCCAGGCTGGCAGCAGGCCTGACTATCAGCCTGTCTCCTGGGGGCTGTCCTCCCTGCCCCAGACCTCGGAGGTGGGTACGTGGATCCCAGCGGGCGAACCTAGGGAATGGGGAGGCCATTTAGGCCAATCTAAGCTCTGCAGGATTAGACAGAGAGACTGTGTCCCCTCCAGAGACAAGGTGTCTTCCTCTGCCTCCTGACACCTTCCTGGCTTTGGCTCATGGACACTGCTTTAGCCCTAAAAGGAAGGGAGCAGTGGGTTGCAGAGGACTGTAGTATTGATTATGACCAAAGCAGGCTGTGAAGAGGAAACCCCACAGTCGGCTTATTTATAGGAGTGAGCCTGGCCAAAGCCTATCGTAACTCACACCCAAATTCCGTTCCCACAACGAAAACCTTCTGACTAGGACAGTGTTCTAATTACAACCATATATCTTATCTGTTCTGTTCCTAATTTGAGAACGCTTTGCCTTGTCCCTTATGAGCCTACTTTACACTGATTTCTATAGAAACTCCACGTAGCTCGCCTTTACCCCAATTGCTTGCCAGAAGTCAGTGCCTGGGACTGGCCAGCACATTGGTTGTTTTGGCCCCCGCTTTCTCTCTTAGTTTTGTCTCTTAGTGTATTTTTTCTCAGGCCTGCGTCCTATGCTACACAGGTGGGTACTGGAACCTGACTGCAGGGGTTTCTGGTAGTGGGTGACGAGACTGAGAGCCACAGTGGCAGGGTGGAGCTGGTGGCCCTGCCACACCACACCTCACCCGCCTCCTGAGGACCTTTCTCTGGGGAGGACACACTGACACTGCGGTGTGGAGAACGTTTGTACCTGTTTCCTCTCTAAGGAACATGTCACTGTCTCTTGGGTCAGCCTGAGGCCAAATGACAAGTGAGAAGCCTGTGACCAACAGTGTGACTCTGGTCACACCTGCTCCTGGGAGCCCTCCTGGGCCCTGGCCCTGACCCCTCAGGCCAGGCTCACCACCTGGGGCTCAGGCACCTGAGGCCCCCAGGCATCTGTTCCCAGCTGCATTCTTAGCAGATGTGAGGGACCCTGAAGTGCCTGAGCTACTCTGAGGCCTGGAATCCCTGCCCGGTGGGGGCCTCTTTAGGGAGGACACATAAAGGCCTGCTCTCCCCAGCGCTGTTGGTCAGAGTGGGGCGTGAACTCCGCGTTGTCACACACAAATGAGGTCAGGGACATCCCAGCTGTGAGGGGGCATGCGCAGTGTGCAGGGCCCACATGCCCGGGGAGGAGATAGGGCACTGGGGCACCTCTCAGAAGTGAAGGGGAACAGGGAAGCACCAGCAGAGACGCTGAGGCAGAGGCAGGCCGGCAGGTGCGCACAGCGTGCTCACCAGTGTCGTGGATGAACCGCTCGATCTTGGACTGCATGCCCCAGTAGCGGAACTCCACCTTGCACAGCTTGTAGGCACACATGACGGGCAGGAGCCGCTTCTTGTACTCCTCGATCCAATTGTCAGACAGGGGCCCCCGGTGGGTCTTGACCGACTGGAACAGCTTGGGGTCTTCTTCCGTCTTGTACTCGTTGGGGGGCACGGGGTCCTTGACGATGTCGATGATGTCTGCGGGGACGCCCTGTGAGTGGCCATGTCTGCCAACTCCTCCTCACCTCCCCAGGCCCGCACCCACAAGGCCTCCCAGGCTCTGGGCTGCGCTGTGTGGAAGGCACGATGTCGGCGAGTGAGGACGATGCTCAGGCTGGGGCGTTCACCCCTTTCCAAGTCGCCTCATAGCCCGAGCACAGCCCAGCACTTGGCAAGCAGGTGAGGGAGGAGGCGAGCTGGGGGGTGGGTTTCCATGGGAGGGAGGGTGCGGACAGGTAGGAGAAGGCTGGGAAAAGTGTCCCGGGAAAGGTGATGTTTCAGCCAGAGGATGGAAGTGTGAAACCAAGAACATCCTGGCTGCCCCGGCACTGGACCGAGGGGCTGTGGGGAAGCACTGGCTGTCCACACTCCACACTGGGAAGGAGCGCATAGCCGTGGTGTAGGACGGAATGCAGCTTGACATGCTGGCTGTTTCCGGGGGCCTGGACACAGGGCTCATGCTGGGAGGGACTCAGCAGGCTGATCTGCTTATAAATCCATTCCAGGTAGAGGAGACAGGAAAGCTGTGCCCACATAGAGGTGCTCTGTTTGACTGAGGTAAGTTTAGTTACCCAGATTTTTAATTAATTGCCGACATGTAGGTATTGGAAGATTTCATATGAAAATCCTGATCTTTAGGTTTTCTTCAAAAAGATTTACCAAGCTAGTGGTGGTACATGCTTGTAATTCCAGCACTTGGGAGGCTGAGGCGGGAAGATGGCAAGTTTCAGGCCAGCCTCAGCAACATAATAAGACTGTCTCAAAAATAAAAATAAATAAAATAAGGTCTGGGGCTGTCTCAGAGGTAGAGTGTTCCTGGGTTTGATTAATTCCCAGTGCCAAAAGAAAAAAAGGATTAACCGGCGGGGCCTGCTTCCTGCACAGCAACATGAGCCGGAGGGGTGGGCAGTGGAAGCCACCACCAGCAGGGACACAGACCTATCCTGTGCCGCAGCCCCTGCTGCTGGTGGCACTCAGTGTGGCTGACAGCTGGAGAAGCTTCCTGAGAGAACACGCCCCGCACATGTGTGCACCTCCGGGGCGGGGGTGGGGAGCACACACATCAGGCGGGGGACCAGGCAGTGGCGCCTCCTGCTCACCAGTTGTCAGCTGGCTCTTTTCCACAGGCGACAGGCTGAACACGTCAAGGCTGTCCCCAGCATCAGTTTTGTAAAAGGTTTCGATGTCGATGGAGAACTTCTCCACAAAAGGGCAGGTGAATCTGCGGCAGAGAAGAGCAGCCATCGGGTCTGCGGCCCGGCTGGTGGACACCACAGGGTGGGAGCAAAGCAGGGAGAGGCTGAGGGGGGCTAGCTGAGACCCCAGGCCCATCCTCTTCCTGGACCATCGCCCATCCCGAGAATGGCCAGGCTGGGAGGGGAAGATGGGTTTGAGGAGAGGAGGCTAGGCAGAGAGGATAACTCCAAGCCTCCTTGGTGGCTGTGTGTGAACAGTGAGGGTACGGTGGAATCAGCAGGACCGGGCACCCACTGCCAAGGAGCCAGCTCTGCCAAGAGGGACAGCCCCTCCGTGCTAGGGACGAGCTGCCCGTAGATTTTCCTGCAAGCTCCGGTGCCCTTCCTTCCCGCCAGTGCAGGGGACGAAGCCCCAGAACACTGCACAGGAGGCTTGTCAGGACCGTCCATAAACGTGGGTTTGGTGGGGAAGCAGCTGTCCATCAGTCCAAGAGTCTTGGGGGCACAGGGTAAGGGTCTCTTGCTGAGGGGGCGTATCCCCAAGGAAAGCCCTGCTTTGTGGGATGTAATGAAACATGGTTAGAGCAGCTGAAGGTCTTGGAGGGGCAGAGGCACTCCTGATCATCTGGTCTTCCGGAGTTCTCATTTCTTCCCAACAGGCTGACTTTACGGGATGCTCAGGGCCTGCACTGAGTTTGGAGCCCCCGAACCTTCCCAGAGGAGAGTTCTCCAACAGCTGTGGCTCAAGGCATTCAGGAAGTCTAGGGACATCCTTCTCACTCCTGTGACCACCTGGACCTCCAGAGACCCATCTGGGACAGAGCCTGGCCTGCTTGGGGTGCAGTGGTTGAGCCCCTGGATCTATGCCACATGCAGTGGGGGACGTACCTGGTCCGGGTATAGGGGTAGGCATTCCAGGACTCCTCCACCACCCGCAGGGCCGCCTTGGGCAGGATGGAGCGGAACCAGCCAGGGATGTGCATGCCCACGTGGTACACCTTGTGTGTGTACTGTCCAGAGCCGCCGGGACCATCCGTGTAGGGCCGGTTTTCCAGGATCTCCACGCCACTGCCTTCACCATAGGTCTCGTTACGACTCTTCTTCTGTGGGATGAAAGCACCAAGACACATGTGGGCAGAGCATTGTGCAAGGGAAGAGGCTCAGGAGTCCAAGTCCAGGAGTGGACCAGGAACAGGGGCTTTCAACCCCCTGGGTCCTTTCATGATCCCCCAAATCTAGATCCAGGCTCCATGCCCCAGTTCCCTCCTGAGCCCCAGCATGGAACACACAAACTATTCTGACTCCTGTCTATCCCAGAACTGGGTGTTCCCAAGATCAGAAACAAGACAAGGTCACCCTCCTTCTTGCTTCTACTCAGTGCTGTACTAGACATTCCAGCCACAGCTATTCGGCAAGAATCAAGAGAGGCATCCACATTAGATAGGATGAAGTACAAGGATCTCAGTTTGCTGATGGTACAATCTTTATATAGATAATCCTACATCATCTCCCCTAAACCTATTACACCTAATAAAGGAATTCAGCAAAGTTGCAAGATACAAAACCAACACACAAAAATGAATGCAAAGAAGAAATTTAAAAAGTCAACTGTGCAACAATAGGATCTGAAATAATAAATAATTAGAAATAAATTTAGCCAAAGAAATAAAAAACTTGTACACTAGTAACTAAAAATTGAGTCTAGAAATAAACCATATATCTATTGTAATTAGCATTATCAGTATTATTATGACTTAGTGAGACCCTATCTCAAAAATATAAAATAAAGGGCTAGGAGCTGGCTGTGGTGGCGCTTATCTGTAATTCCAGCACTTGGAAGCCTGGGGCAGGAGGACTGCCGTGAGTTTGAGGCCAAGATGGGCCACATAGCAAGACCCTGTTTCGAAAAATTAAAAATAAAATAAAGTAAAATAAAGGGCTGGCGATGTAGCTCTGTGTGAAGGCCTTGGGTTAATCTCTAGTGCTGCAAAAAGAAAAAAAAAAAAGAAAGCAAGAAGGAAATTCAACATCATCTCATCACTTTAGGAAAATGGAAAGCAACACCACACTGGGATCTACTCATTTTGTGATGCCCTGCACATGCTAAGCACACGCAGTTCCACAACTGTACCCAGCCTTGCATGAGGCTAGTGATGGCTCCACACGCTGTGTATGTGGCACATGGGGATGGGTGGCACTCGGGCTGCAGGCCAGGGAGCTTTCTCTTCAGGACTCCGGGGTCCAGGGGCTGAGCATGGGTCTTCTGGGGCCTGAATGTCCGGTGTCCACTGGAGACTCCATCTCCACTGGCTGTGTCACTTGATGGGAGTCCACTGAGGCATGCTGAAGCCCATGCTTTTCTTTCTCTGTGTGTAAACACTGGAATGACACGGGAGAACAAGGAGGAAACAGCGCAGAGGTCTCCAGGCTCCTTCAGGACAGGCCACTGTAGACTTGGGCCCGTGCCACACTCTCATGAAGCTCATCTTGGCCCTGGAAGCTGGGCCTCTGAAGATGAGGGATGGTCCTGCTCTCCCTCGGGAGTCACCAGGCTCCTGCTTTGTCCCAGCCTCGGTGGGCAGGGTGTCCTCACAGCTCCAAACCCAAAAGTCTCTGAGGTTTGCTTCCTTGAAGGAGGGAGTGAGAAGCTGGCCCAGACAACCCTGCATTCTGGACACACAGGGGCTGCTGGGACAGGGCAGGGGCCAGGCTGCCTGCTCCTCTGCCTGGCCTGGCTTTCCGAATGCGGATCAGCCCCCAAGGCCCAGGGCAGAGGAGAGGAGCCGGCTCCTGGATGCACAGGTGCTGAGACACAGGCAGCAGCCGTGACAGGCTGGCCGGTGTTACTGGGAGCCAGGGAGGGCAGGGAAGGAGGCTCCCTGGAAGAGGCGGCCCCCAGCGGGGTGGCGAGCCTTAGAGGGGGCCTTCCTGGCTCTGCTGTAGACTATGGCTCACCCTCAAACTGCTCTCTCCCCCGACTCCACTGTGAGGACACTGAGGCACAGCGCTGGAGGCAGCTCGCTTGGGATGACAGCCAGGTCTTCCGGGCCATGAGTGGCCGGGGCAGTGTGTGGGCAGAGGAGGCTGCAGACCCGAGTCTCAGGTCCCCACATGAGCACTGGGCCCCTCACCTCCCTGATGGGGCCGGGCCATGGCTGAAGGAGGCGGCTGGTGGGCACGGTGTCCACACTCAGAGGCCATAGGAGCACTGCCACTTCTTCACCAGGGCCCTAGCCAAGGGTCCTTCTCCACTGGATCAGCAGCTGACTCTGATATGTATTCCCGCTGCTATTGGGCCTGATTCAGTCTCTCAGATGAGCTCTGGCCTCTCCTGATCACCAGCCCAACATCCAGTCTACTCCATGGCTGAGGGAGGCAGGCAGCTCACAGCATGGGTGGGCTGGAGCAGGTGCAGGCTGCTCTCACTGGAGAGAGGGAACCTGGGAGGATGAAATTCATGTCCTGGACTCAGTGTGAATCTCCAGACTGAGGGCTGTGACTTCGTGCTGGGCCTGGGCAATGAAGCTGCCATCGGTGTGTGTCATATACGTGTGCACATGCATGTGGTGTGCATGTGCAATGGTCCATGGATTCCAGGCTCTTTTGGGCAGAGTAGAAAAAGAGTGTGCTACACAATAACAAATGTTGGCGGGGTTGTGGGGAGAAAGGAACCCTCCTCCATTGTTGGTGGGAGTGCAGACTAGTGCAACCACTATGGAAATCAATATGGAGATACCTCAAAGAGCTTGGACTGGAGGTTCCATTTGACCCAGCCATCCCTCTGTTGGGTATCTTTCCAAGAGAACTAAAAGAATCATATCACAGAGAAGTATGTGCACCCATGTTTATAGCGGCACAGTTTGTAATAGCTAAATCTTGGAAACAACCTATTTGCCCATCCGTTGGAAACTGGATAAAGAAGTTGTGGTTTTTCTATAAAATGGAATATTACTCAGCCATAAAGAGCGAGAGAATAGATTCATTCATAGGAAAATGGATACATATTGAAGATATACTCCTAAGTGAAATAAATAAGTCCCACATGTGTAAATACCAAATAGTTTCCCTGGTGTGAATATTCTGCAACAATGCATAAGATTCTAATAAGATTACTGACATTTAGAAATGGGAGGAAAGGAGCTAAAGGTGTAGGGAAGGTGTGATACGTAGGGGAAGAACAAAAAGGGAAAAGAAAAAAATGTGAGAGAATGAAAAGATGAAAATAAAGTGTTTGTAGATGGGGAGGGGAGGAGGGGGTGAAGGGAGGGCAGAGGTAAGGGGAAAAAAATGAGAATCAAGACTTGCCATGTAAAGGTACATGATCCCAACAATGAATGTAACTGTACTGTATCCCTAAATGTACCAATAAACTCAATTAAAAAAAAAAAAAGAAAAAGAAAAAGAGTGTGCTAGGGCTGTCTCCAGAGAAAGGGACTCCAGGGGCAAAAATTCAAACTGGAAAGGATACTTGTAACAAACACATCCCTGAGGTGTACAGGGGAAACTGAGGGCCAGGGACAAGAGGCAGGGGTGAGGCCACACAGCTAGCAGGCTAGGGCTGCTAGGGAGGTGGCAGGGATTCTGTCAGGACCCCTGGCAGCACAGAGGTCTGCAAACTCCCCAAAGGATATGGCTTTCTCACTGGCTGCCTCTGACAGCTTATTAAAGTTATGTTCTCCTAATGGTAAGAGCTAAAACTATAAAACAAGCATAAATCTTTATAACCTTGGATTTGAAAATTTCACAACCATCACCTGAAAAGCCCAAGCAATGAAAGGAAAAACATAAACCAGACTTCATCTAAATTAACAACTTTTCTGTTTCAAAGGATATTTAAAAAGAAGCAAAAAGACAACCTACAAAATAGGAGATTTTCATCAATAATACATTTAATGTTAGGAACTTGTGATCTCCTACAACTCAACAACCAATGGCCAAGAAACACCTGAAAAGATGCTAAAAGCACTTTCATTAGGGAAAAGGAAACACACTCTACCAGGAGCTATAGGACTCCATTATGCACTGTGATGATTAAAAAGACAACAGCAATTTAATGATAATTCCAGTACAACAAACAGGAATCTATGGGATACAATGAAAGCAGTTTTATGTGGGAAATTCATAGCAGTGAATGTGCACACTAGAAAAACAGTGAGCTCAAATAAACAATCTAATGGTGAATCTTAAGCTCCTAGAAAAAGAAGACCAAGAGAAACCCAAAGCTCATACAAGGCAGGAAATTATAAAGATCAGAGCAGAGATCAATGTAATGGAGACTAAGAGAATGATACAAAAAAATCAGTGAATTGTTTTTTAAATAATAAATAAAATCATAAACACTTAGCCAACCTTATCAACAAAGGAAAGAAAAGGCTCAACTTCATGCAATTAGGAATGAATACGGTGAAGTCACAACAGATCCAGCAGAAATCCAGAGGATCATCAATAGCTACTTTGAGAACTTGTACTCTAATAAAATGGAGAACACAGAAGAAATGGACAGATTTCTAGATACATATGAATTACCAAAAAGAAGATATAAAAATTCTAAACACCCCAATTACAATCAGTGAAATTGAAAATGTCATTAAAAGTTTACCAACAAAGAAAAAGCCCGGGTCCTGATGGCTTCACTGCTGAGTTCTACAAGACATTTAGAGTAGAACTATTGGCACTAGTCTTTAAACTTTTCAATGAAATTGAAAGGGAAGCAACACTTCCAAATTCATTTCTGAAAGTGTTACTTTGGTTCCAAAACCGGGGAAAGACCCAACCAAAAAAAAAAAAAAAAAAAAAAAAGAACTACAGGCCAATCTCCCTAATGAACATAGATGCAAAAATCCTCAATAAGATACTGTAAACAGAAAACAGAGTGAGGGTCATCAAGAAGCTCATGCACCCTGACCAAGTTGGATTTATCCCAGGGATGCAAGGATGGTTCAACATACATAAATCAATAAATGTAACACACTATATTAACATAGTCAAGGACGAAAACCATATGATCATCTCAATAGATGCAGAAAAAGCATTAGACAACATTCAATACCAATTCATGACAAAAACCCTACAGAAAATTGGAATAGATGGTCTTTATCTCCAC